AGTACAAATTTATTATATTTTCAAAATATGCATCCGGATATCTTATTTTCCCACAATATGGAAAGTAGCAAAAATCCACCCTATTCCAAAGCCAAAGCAGAGATTCATAACTCAGTATACTCAGCATACTCAGCAAAGTTTTGGAAAAAATAATACATATTTCCTCAGACACCTAAACGAGAATAATATAATCATTCCACACCAATGCTGCTTCAGGGAAAACCACTCATGTATTCAACAGCTACTCAGATTTACAGAACATGCGATTATTGAACATAGCAAAAATAGAATCACACTGCTTGATATAGAAAAAATCTCGGTGTAGAATGATGCCCTGGTATTAAACTAGCCAATATCGGAATCCCGATAACAATAATTGAATTAATAAAAAAATTACCTCACGTATAGAAAGATATATGTATGTAGAAGATGTCACAATAAAAGGATCAGGTACAAAAGAGGTAAAAGCCGAAATCCCACAGGGCTCGATACTTGGTCCCGTATTTTAACATATACACCAATGACATATCCAGAAGAGACAAGACACACCTGGCAATATTTGCAGACAATACAGACATTTATTCCTGGAACGCACTGCAAGAAACCAAATACTTACAGGAATATATGGATTTACATGCGCAAGTGGAAGCTCAAGATAAATCCGCAGAAAACACAGGCCATCACCTTCACGCGAAAAAGGGCACAATTTTGAGAACAGATCATAGTCAATAGATACAAAGTGCCATCAGTTGAACACGATCAAATACCTTGGAGTCACACTCAACAATAAAATGGCATGAGCGCCCGCGATCGAAAAGAGGGCAAACCTAATTTACCCCGTCCTTAAAAAAATATATCCACTAATAGTAAACTTAAAATTACGTTATACAAAACATGCATTGGGTCGATAATAATCTACAGACATCAAATATGGGCTGCGGTAGTCACCTCAATAAGATTCAAGTAATACAAAATAAATTTCTTAGAATTATCTTTACAAACAACGAGATATACCTATATAGCCGTACATATAGCCGTACTACACAAGATGGCTAATATACCTACCATCCACAAATATATACAAAAATCCATCACCCGAGTATATAATTACCAATATAGCAATCCGCTAGTAAGAAATACAGGCAACTACAATATAGATGAAATATCACTAAATTAATATCAGGCTTCCAAAGCATGTGGTAGCAAATTTATAACAACAAACTATAGAAAAAAAAATATAAAATCTTTGAAACCTTTTCTACAAGCACAACAACACTCTCAAGGAAACAAACGAAATACAAAAACAGCGCACATCTAATTTCTGTTAATCTATATGCAGGTAATAGTGAAGGAAAAGCCCCACGTACACGCAGTAAAATAAAATCTCAGGAGGAAAAAAACATTTTTTCAAGTTTTTTTAAATTTTTGTTCAAAAATGAATAATTATTATATTTAAATTATTTTTTTAAATTTCGTAGTTTTTGATATTCCATGAAACTTTTAATGTTTCTTAAAACATCTTAAACGATATTCTAACTCTAAAAGAATATTTTTATTATGAAAAAAAATATGTTTGTAAGTATTTTGTCGAAAAGTAGCTTAATAAATTGTGACAAAAAGTGGACAAAAGTGGAAATCTGTTTTATGAAAATTACGGGAAACATGTTTACCGCTGAAAATATTTCGAAAACAGTAGAGTACAACTTATATATGAATGTTAGCGCAAGAATATTGAACATTCTTGCGCTCTGAATCATGATTTAGTCTATATTTCCGTTGGACATTCCTTTGAATGTTTCCGTTTAATGTTTACTAGATCAGAAGCATCATGTAAGTCAAGATAGTCCATGTGCCTATTATGTTTGTTGTCATCTAGAAACGATTAGTATTAATCATTTTATCGATGCTTTAATTTTGCCGTTTTTAGATGACCTATAGAAGAGCAATTAAATGGCTAATCCCTGAATTTGATTGGCTAAATAGGCCGCGCGGCAAAAACGGTAGAATTTTTAATATGTACAAGAACAGTATACTTTTCACATCGTAAAGAAACAACTTAATTTTCAATCGATTAAGAAAAACGATTTAATTTTCATCAAATAATCAACGTCGTCAAGATACATTACAATTTCGAGAATCGTTATAGCTTTCAATCTGAATCTCTAAAATTTTTTCACTACGACTAATACAGCCACAAAGTAATGTTATACATACATCATTATGTAACAATAATAAATATTAAAAGAATCGAAATTTTAAAAGTAAGTGGGTGCTTTACCTCCCAAAATATTATGTATATAGGACGTTAATTTTAAGTCGAATATTTAAATTATTTCGATTGTTATTAACGTTAAGAAAAAATGACTATATAAGATTTGAATGATTATATAAATGACTATATAAGATTTAATGAAGACGTGCATCTGATTTTATTATTAAAAATAATCCTATGAAGGTCACTTTGAACAGTTTTTTCAAGATCATCATCTATTTTTAGTATGTTAATATAAATTTTTATATATACTATATTATTGTCGATGTCAAAATGAAGTCAACGATCTAGATACCATTTTTTAAATGATCTTGGAGCGAAAACAAATAACATTCAGATGTAACGTGAAGAATGATATGCTATTGAATATAATTCTGCACACAATTCACATGCTCGAACTGAGTTTTCATTTAGCTTCACTATAAATCAATATTTTTTCTTCTTTTCTATATATAAGAAAAATTTATCATAAATATTTATCATAAAATTTTATTAACAAATTTTTTTAAACGTTAGTAAAGTTTTGATCAATCTTATAGATTATACATCCGAAATGTTCAAACCATACTCCTATAACTGCTTGAATTATATGAAACTATAATTGCTAGCGAGTAGTTAGTAAATGAAACGTTTTTGTGACATGAGATATCCGACTATAATGTAATACCAAACGTTTAATAGATAAGCATTCCATTAGTATACCGTGGAAATATCATAAAAGGTGCCATTCAATCGTTCGTTAATCATGTACAGATATCTTGATGAAGAGAACCAGTATTTCAAACATTTCATAAAATAAGATTATTTTTTTTGCAATATTATTATTTTTACATTTCTTAGAAAAGTCATTGTAAAGTCATGGCATCACAGGTCATTTTGACGT